GGTGGTCCCAAGGAAAATCCTTGATGCAATCATGCAAGCTGGGATCCCATCGCTCGGGCGTTCGGCGGATGGAACGGGTGATGAGAAGTTTCCCACCTGCTGTGACAACCAGGTGGCCATCACTCGCATTGGCCTTGCCCAACCACAGCGAGCGGACCCATTTGGCGGATCCTTTCACAGGCTTGTTGGTCATCGCTGTGCGGCACATAGCCATCACACACTCACCGAACTCGACAAGCTTGCCTGTATAAGGCGACTGGAAAGTGCATTCAAACGGGGTCTGCTGATCTCGAGCAACGACATACCTGTTCAGCAACCACGACCCATGGCGAGCAGCCCACGCGTGAAGTGGGTGCAAACTGCCTACTTGCTTGCCGGTGTTGTGCTCATAAGCACTCAACAGCACACATGCTTGCTGTCTAGTGGATTCCACTGCTTCTTCCGCGGCACCGTTCGAGGCCTTTTCCTCTTCGCCTGACTGCTCCAGCCTCGTCCTTTGACCCAGGCGACCTCGGGCCTTCTGAACCTCCTGCTGGAGGGTCTTGCAACTGGGCTCAGGGTCGCAACGTATGGTCACATCATTGTATCCCAGCACATTGCACAGTCTGACGATCTCGCTGGTGAGAAATTTGGTGCTTTCTGGACCGCCTTTGCGCTTGGTGGGAATGGCCGCTCTCCAACCTGTTGCACGGTCCTTCACACACAGGGTGATAAGCTTGTTCTCAGGATCAAGCTCGCGACCTGTGAACCCGAAGTCGAAGGAGAGAACCGAAACGGCCCGCTTAGGTTCAACAGTGGCGCTGGCACGATCACTTCGCGCCTTGTGCATCACGCAGTGTTCGCACCACTCACGGTACGGGGCGTGCGTCAGATTGTGTTGCAACCGCTCATGCAGCGTTGGCTCCTTCACAAGCGGAACCTCACGAGGCTCACGGCTCTCGCCTTGTGCACGCTCCTGTTTCTGGCGCACACCTTCTGCAAGTTCAAGACGCTTCAAGTGATCGCACAACCTTTTGTACACCTTGGCTTTGCCACCTGAACGGCCTATATTCAGATACTCGCAGGCTTTGCGCATGACACTCAACGCCGAGTCGGCGGTCACTCTGACACCATTCACTTCAATGAAATCACCGGTCATTTCATCATCTCGGGTTGCAGCCTCCAAAGCTGCTTGCTGGGCCACGGGCACATTCGCACCATCATGATGCTGCTTCTCACCCTCAACATCACTTGCAAACAAAGCTTCAAGATCAGGGGTGCCCGGAACAGTAGACTCAAAAGGAGGAGGAGAGCCGATGCCTCCAACCTCCTGCGCAACACCTGCAGGCTCACCTTCGCCTTCATGCATTGGCACATCTGTATCACCATCTGGCGCCTCTGGCACATCACCTTGCATCACGATCCCAAGCTGCTCTGCTGTCAAAGCTTCTCTGGAGGCAATGGTTAACACCGTGCGCTCTACCCCATCGGCAAATTGCTCATCAAGCACATCCAAAGTTGTGACATCGCGGCACAGCTCCCAAAGCTCCCAAATGCGCATTACAGGATCAACGCAAACCAAAGTGGTGCGGTACTGCATACCTTCCATCGGCAAATACAAGCTCACATCAAGATAGGCATCGGACTCGCATTTAAGCCCTTGCACTCCTGGGATCAGCTCCTCAAAGAACTCGTTGCCCTTGTTGACCATACTTTCAAGAACAGGGTTCAAGCTGACAGCACGAACGAAGCCATCACATGGCTTGCTGGTCACAGTCCTGATGCTTCCATCCACAACAAGGCTGTTATGCCTAAACCGCACGGGCACCTTCCGAGAACCCTTGGACAGCACCAGCTCATTGTTCTCATGTTGCACACTCCATCCAGCCTTGTACAACTTTCCGCATGCAAGCAGGGGTGACGTCACATCAGTCACCAAGAAGCGCTCACGAAAGGTGACGCCATTGTCAAGGATGACCTGAGCATAGCGCCATCCGTAAGCCCGCAACGGGTTTCCTTGGGCATCCGAAAAGTTTGCCCTCTGATTTGTGCTTGCCTTGCAACCTACACCTGCATATGCATACGGCAGACACGACTCGTCGGCTCCAGAGTCGAGCACCACTTCTGTGACCTCCTCAACCACGGGCAACGGCTCAGTCTCAGGACGAAACCCAGCTACCCTGATGACACCTCTCACTGGGGCTGCTATGGCCTCACAGGACATGTCACTTGCACACTCATCTGAGCAACGGGTCCACTGTGCATCATCATCAGTACACGACATGTCGTACCAACTTGCACTTGCTGCACTGGCTGGCGCCTGACCTGACCTGGGACCTGTGCATGACGCCATGTTGCACACCTCCTGGCCTGTGACCTCGACGGAACCTGATTGCACCTGCGTGGGACCTGATTGCACCTGCACTGGACCTGATTGCACCTGCGTGATTGGCGTGGGACCTGATTGCACCTGCATGGAACCTGATTGCACCTGCATGGAACCTGATTGCACTTGCGTGGCACCTGATTGCACTTGCGCGAAACTTGATTGCACCTGCACACCTACGCAAAGCTGAACAGCCCTGACATAAGAGCTGCTTCCCACTGAAAACACACTCAAATCAATCTCATCATCACTCTCGAAAACGGTCTGCACTGCTTCAACGCGATTCACCTGGCGGGCTCCGACCGTGGGGGCTCGAGTGCTCGCAGTAGCTTGCGAAACTGTGGACGCAGCAGAAGACGGGATGGCCTGGCTCGGCACTTCTTCGGCCACCTGTTGCACACGCCCCTGCTGTGGAGGGAACCAGCACTCATTCTTCCAATGCCCTCTTCGCCCACAGTTCCCACACACATCTGGATCAAGCCTGCCCTTTCCTCCACCTTTGCCCTTGCCTTTGCCGCCTTTTGCATCTTTGCCCTTGGATCCCTTCGCGTTGCCCTTCCAATCCTGGGCACTCCATGCTTTGCCCTTGCCTCCTCCTTTGCCTTTGCCTTTGTTAGCCTTGCCACCTTTGCCATCCTTGCCTTTGCCCTTTCCACCTCCTTTGCCTTTTCCTTTCTGAAGACGATCTATCTCCATTGGGGTGGCATCATCATGATTGTGCTTGGTTCCCAGAAGTATGCTATCTTGCGCAAACACATTGCCAACACCCCACTTGAACTGCACACGCTCATACCGCAGCACTGCTTCTCTCAGCACACTATAGGAGGCATCCTCAGGCAGTGACGCACAGATGTGTTGGCGCATCACTCCTGACAAAGAACGCAAAAGCAAGGCGCTCTTGAGGCTTGGTTGCACATCTTCGCCACTGGCAAGGGAATACTGTTCAAAAGCTCGTTCCAACTCCAAGATTTGCGGCAAGTATGGCTCTCTAGGATTGAACCCTTTGATCTGGGTCAACGCACTAAGGATTCCAAGCGACCGAACTTTGCTAGGCGGTTGAAACTGCAACAACAGCATTCTCAAAGCTTCATAGCCCTGCTGGTGGTTGATCTGTTTCACAGTTTGGAAGGCCCTTCCTTTGATCAAGGTACTCAAGAGAGCATACAGCTGAAAGCTCCGGGCTTGCTGCTCTGCACTGACAATCAAGACTGGGTTGTTCAAGGATCGCTCCACTTCAGAAATTTCCGCATCGAAATTTTGATCTACTGCCACCAAGAACTGTCTAAACACCCAGTACCAACTATGCCAGCGGCTGTGCTCATCTTCGGCCTTGTCAACCTTAAAGGGTTCGGGCTTAGGGAGGATTTTCAGCAAGTCACGGCCCTCAAGTCCAGCTTTGGCACCTGCCGCACTCTGTGCATTGTGCATCGACTGCACAGCTGTAGCAGCAATCGAAGCAGCATTCGTTGACGCTTCCACCATGGATGCCATGCGATTTAGCATTGCTTCAAGTGCCATACCCATATTGCTAGGGCTTGCTGCAGGACTAAAGGGATTCTGCTGGGCTGCTTGCAACTCGGGCCCATCCTCATGAACTCTGGCATCGGGATTGCGGCTGCCTGTGCTTGCGCTTGTGCTAGCGCCTGTGCAGCAGCTTGTGCATTCTGATCCATGGCACTACTGCCGGTCGGCCCCGACGTCTGCAGCTACCCGCCGCGCTTATTTCACCGAACTGTCCACAAGAAAATCCTGGATCCCTTTTCCCTTTGGACAATGGCACACAGTTGGTCCTTAAAGGGCTCTCTCACCAAAAGAACCCGAGAACCTAACCGTGAAGTGTCAAAGTCCCTCTCACTACCACTACTCTGGGGTCTGGGTCCTGCCCCGAGCAGCGGTTCGCCAAACACACGGGAGTGGCTTACCAGCTGCTCCGCTACCATGCTAAACTTTTCCTGTGGTTCACACGCCTGCGGAGTCACTCAGTCAGTATTGGGCTCTAAAATACAGTGGAGCAAAACAAAACATACAGCATGCAAATTAGTTCAGTACGGCAGCATACAAATGTGGTACACGTGTGGGTACAAACTTTAGCACACTTGCATCATTGCGAACTTCGCAGCACAACTTGTGCAGGAAACAACCAGGGCGGGCTGGGTGGGACAAAACTTTTTTCCGGACTTATGCCGGAAATTTTTTCTTACCCTCCCACCACCCTGTGGAGCCAACTGACGGCATAACAAAGTCTTCATTGAGATTCCTCGAACATGAACTGTCATGTCATGGGTTGAGAAAACTTTGACAAAAACTCACGCCCTAAATTTTGAGTTTGTTTGACAAACCAAAATTTTTGACACAGGGGAAAATAAAGCTTCATCCGCTGTTCGCGGAGTTGCGTCTTATTTTCCCTTATGTGTCAACCGGGCGTTCCATATTCCATATATACAAAAGAATATACATATAAAAATTCGGGATATGTCACTCTTCATCCGAAAATATACTTCACAACTAATAAAAATTCGGCTCACACTAGCGGCTCATTCTTTTCTCGTGATTGGGGCATCGCAGTGCCTTGCCCTGCCCCAGTCCTTGGCACTAAGAGCGCCCAAACTACTTGCCGCCGCACCACTTGTGCATATCACTTCAGTCGTGACTTTGACTTTTCAAGAAAGCCTTCAAAGAACTTCGCCGCAGGCCTAACACGCACGGGTGTCGGCAGATTCCACACTCCTCTTGAAAGCGGATCCGAAGGATTACTTGCAGATGGAACTCGATCGTACCAAATCATAAAGCCAAGGCTTTCCTCAATCTCGCATACCGCATCGATGACATGCGTTGCAAACTGACTCACTGTCCAGCACTTCACGAAGGCGCCGTGAACACCTTCGTTGTCGGTGAACACAACCACATTCTTGCCCTTAAGAGCTTTGAAGAAACACTTCAGCGCAACATATACCGCCAAAGCCTCCAGCTCAAAGATGACAGTCTCTTTGACACGCTCAAAGGACGTCATGACTTGGGAAACAAGCGAAGCATCAAGGTTTTCGCCGAACCATTGGAGCAAGGAGCCTTTATGGTCATACGCCATGCCCCCGATGCCACAAAGCTTGCCCTCATCGCTGAAGGATGCATCCACATACACATGCACGACATTGCCCAGTTGCCGACTAATCGAGCGGCTTTGGTTTGACGAAACCAAACGCCTCAAGAAGCGACACGCCTCAGAAGTGACCTGGCTCAACCGGCCTCCATGATGCCGGCTAAGCTGGTGCAGAGCAACCTTCGCCCTTCGACCGAACAACTGGCCGGAAGCGAACTGCAGCCTACCTCGAAGTCTCTCACAGTCGGAATGCGACAACCTGCCAGCTAACAAGACCTCGTCCAAGGCAGCAGTTATCTCCAGCACGCGTTTGTCGGTGTTCGCCAGCTCGAAGAGTCCCAGGCGTGCTTCAGACATGTCGATTTTGATTCCAAGGACTTTGCAGCACACGTCATAGGGCAGAAGTTTATCTAGCGAAAGATCCCAACCTAGAAGCCTAAAGAGCGTGCTGATAACGACCTCCACGTGTCGACGCTCCTCAGGCTTGCAAGCCGATAGAAAATCGTCAAAATAAAAACTCCAGACCAAGGCAAACATTTTAACCCCCAGCCGCCAAATCCCGAATGCACAACGGATAAAGGCAGTCACTGAGGCTTTCGCCCCGAAGGGCATGACCCGCTGCTTGTAGATGACGTGCTTGCGAGTGCGGGGGCAGAAGATTACGAAGAAGCTATCCTTTTCGAAACTTTTGTCACTAAGCGGTAGTTGCTTGTATGCGGCACTGAGGTCCCAACATTTGCACACAAGTCCCTCACGCAAGGACTTCAAAGGAGACAAATGCAACCACATCGCCAACATGCCAGCAACTACGTCCAACGTGTGGACGGGCACTTGTTCACTTTGGGACACAACCGAATTTACAAGCGAACTCAAGTAATTGTCGATTGGTCTCACTTTGGGACCTTCCTCGGTCTCTCCTTGGATCACTCCGAAGCGATGCGTGACCGTCCCATCATCAGGGATGTCGCTAGCACTCACCGGCCCCTCAATGAAGCCTTTGGCCAACTCCTTCTCTGTGGCTGCCATCACGCCTCGATCCACGATCTCGTCCACGGAACTTTTAACCGAAGCCAAAACCTGACCCCTAACTAATCCCGCACTTTTCCTAAGCGTTTCCTCGGCCATGGCTGCCGGGCGGTACTTATTCTTAAAGGCATTAGATCGGGGCAAGGGTCCGGTTAAGTCGAAACCGCTGGACAGATCAGAAATCAAGTCCTCGTCCTCGTGTCCCACACTGTCAAGCATCTCTTTCATCAAGAGCAGCCGCTTGTTGCACAACACTTGACGTCGATGGGAGCTGAAAGATCCCTTGAGCTGGCTTTCGGCAGTTTCCAGCTCCTCAGCGCGAGCAAGCCATTTCTTGAGCATCTCGGTTCGCTCGCGCCCAAGCGTAGCGACATCTTTGGAATGATTTGCCCGTATGGCCTCGACAAGCTCTGATGGCAAAAGGCTTTCCAAGTGACAAGGATGTTGCACACTCAACGCCCTCGCCACGAACTCCTCCGGTTCATGGTACACGCCGAAAACGATACTTCCTTTTTGTACTTTTGCGACCCTGGGAGCACATCACTAGAACCAGAAGAGGGGCCTAAGGGAAAACCCAGTTTTTCCAAGAACCCTTTGTCGGCAGTTGCAAGTTTGGTCACGCCCACTGGGGTGTATGCAACAATCACTCCTCTGTCACCTCGCCACGGTTGAGTAGCATGCCAACGCTTCGGTTCAAAGATAAAGGGCCTTCCAACTGCCGCCAAGTCATGAAACCTCCCAGCACGTTGAGTTTTCTCGACGACCATTGCAATAGGCCCACCTGCCTCCTCAAGCCACAGTCCACCGCCAGCACAAGCATGCGTTGCCATGACCAGGTTTTTTGTTCCTGGCTCATTGTGCAAGTCTCGATGGGCCTCTGCGCGCACATTGCACAGGTAGCCCACGGCAGAGAAACAAAAACCCGGAGCATTATCACGAACATGCTTGCAAAGCACGGCAGTGCACCAAGGCATATCTCGCGTCAAGATTTTGCAGCCCGTCATGGGCCCATGAGCATAGGCTCCGCACAGAAACTGATTGGACTGGTCATCACAGCTCCCCCTGGCTCTGGTCTGATGTTTTTGCGGCAACATGTCCAAGAGAGTTCGCATCTCCTCCTGGCTGAAGCGAGTGTTCCACTGTAACATGATGCAGGCAAGCTTCTCAGCAGGGTGAGCATCCTCAGGCGGAGAAGAAAGGCTTGACAATGCACGGTGAAGAAAACTGGCTGGCGGCGAGTCGTCTTTCCCGTCAGCCTGTGCGGCACTCAAGTCGTCCGAAGCATCCTCTGAACTTTCCCCCGGCACCGTGAGGATGCGAAGGACCTTGGAACCTTGTGGCACAGACGACACAAAGCAAGGGTCAACATTTGCAGATGCAGGCACCTCCCACGATGCAGGGAGTTTGCAGCCTACTTGAAGACCTTGCATAGAAGCAGCAGGGAAGCTGCCACGGACATTTACAACATGCTTGAACTCCGGAACCAGAGGAAGGACACGCTTGTTGCTTTGCCATCCAGCAACAGCTCTGGCCGCTGCAACTGTGGCTGTTGTCTGACTCAAGTTAGTAGGCAGAGGCTTGGCCCCCATGTCAAGCAGTTGATCTTGCAGAAGCTGTGACATGGCTTTGCACAAACCCCACGGAAAATCCAAATCACGGTCGAACTTACAGCCCACACCCTTAGACCAAAACTTATGCACATGTCCACCGGCGCATGGACGATGCAACTCCAAAAATTTTGGTAGTGAGTGCAGCAGTCGCATAGCCTTCTTGAAGGGCGATTCGAAGCTGCAAAGGTGAAAGTGCGTTGTGAAGAGAGGAATTTCCTGAAGCAAAAGTCGCAAAGGTTTGGTAGCCCACACAAAACTTGACTCTGGGTTGCAGACGCTGAAAAGCACCCCGCGCTCGTGACATGTTTTGCAAGCTGCGGCCACAGCACGCAGGTAGGCATTGGCATCACTCACTCTGGTACGATCGGCTAGCCCCAACCCTGGAACTCCATCCGGATGGGTTTCGTTCCGAAGGACTGCAGGAGCTCCTGCAAATTGACGCAATCTGGCTCGGCTTGTAGTATTACAGGGCGGATAAAAATGAACATACATCAAATTTTCTTCGGTCAAAATCTCCTGGAACTGCTTGCGACCCGACTCTGTACACAAGTCAACAACAATTCGCGGTGCACAGCACTTGCCGGCTGTTCGATCAACGGAAAAACTGTTATCAAGCTGTCGCTGCTTGAGGCATGCAGTCAATCGCCCCGACCCCGGCGAGACCTCGAGGACAAGACATTCATCCAAAGAGACCTCCTTAACCCTAGTCATCACTCTTTGAAGATAAGACTCAGGCTCCGGTACAGTCGAGGCGGCTGGCTGTCACTTTCGGTGCTTGGGCAACGGATGCGCCTTGAAGCAATTTGGCTCGCAACACAAGTGCCAGCCGCGAGGACACTCCTCGCCATCAGCGGCATTGGGACATCCATCAATGTTGTATGCCCAACACAGCCTCTTCCCTTCGTTGGTCTCGCTGGCTTTACCGACGAGCTGCTTCGGCATTTTGATGAATTTGGCACCTTTGACTCCTGGCTGATCCTTGCCTTTGCCCTTTCCTTTGCCCTTGCCATTCTTTTTCCACTTGGTCGCTTCATCGGTCTTTTTGGCATCATCTGTCCACTTCCGCTTGTTATCATCGATTTCTCCACCTTTCAACGGCAACAAGTGGAAGCTGATGCTGGGATCCTGAAGAATGTTCTCAAGGGCTCGATCCAAAGGCAAAGCCCCATCGGGCTGACGCTTGATCGAGGGAAGGCTTTCCGCAATGCGCGTGAAGGCTGCCCTGTCTGCCCTAAGCACCTGTGCCACCGAAATCTTCACGTAAGTAGGCGGCGGCAACTCCTGCAGCCGATGGATCAATGACGAGTGATACCGATTCATGGTGTCATAACTGGCGCACTTGACTAGATCAAATGCTAAGGCTCGCCGCCTCAGAGCCTGCGTAAGCTCAAGTTCGGTCCCTGTTGCGCAGGTTTGATGAGGCACCTTGTCTCTCACCGTCACACTGTTCCCGTCGATGGTGAGCTCCTTCCCAGGCTTCTTTCCCTGAAGTTCGGACTGTCGGGTCGGAAACCTGTCTGGCCCTAAGTATGTCAAGGAATCCGCGGACAACATGGCGTACACCAAGTCATAAGAGGCATGGCTGGGCTCTTCGACTCCACGATGCAAAAGGCCTGTGATCCTTGCACGCTGCTCTGTGATGCGCTCTTCCCTCTCAGCTGTGGCAAGCGTCGAAGGTGCTCCAGAGTCCCCCCTCTGAACTCGAGTTTTTAACTCTTGGACTACGAGTGTATGGGCCTCAAAGATTAAACGCTTTGCTGCAGCCATCGTCCCTGCCGTGATGGGTGTTGCCCCGAAGAGCCGCTGTACCTGATCGTCGCTCGGAGACTGGCCCGGCGGTACTGTTGCAAAAGCTAATTTGGAAAGCGTATCCACTCCGGTCCCCGTCATCGTGGCCACATTGGCTTGAGTCAAGCCAATCTCTTTCGCCCTTGATGCGAAGGCCGCCGTGGATTCCGTTAACGAGCCCATGATCCCTCAGCAGACACACAGCACAGACTACCGAGCTGATGACATGTCAAAACATGAAGTCGCATGCCAGTTCACAACTCGCTCCTAACATGTGTCTTCATCATGTCTCTACTCCTTCGAAAAAGCTCACTCATGCTTGTTCACCAAAGGTCTCCACTTGAGCAAAACTTCGAGCATAACATAGCTCCTCAGAAACTTCGCACTCGCAACTGGACTTGACTGCCAGATGAACTTCATCTGCTCTTCAAGCGCACTTCGCTTTTCTTTCGCCCCACGTGGACAAACTCGATCACTTCTCTCTACAGTTCATGATCTGCTGCAGCGCGACATTCAAGCTGCCCACATCTCTAACCGGTCGACCCGAGTCACACTGCTTGCACTTTCGCAACTCAAGGAATGGCACACCGCTGACTTCCACATGATCATTGGTGAGGGCCCTCCCGCATATAAAAAGCCCATCTGAACTCCCAGCACTCATGAGATGCACAACACCAGTCCTAGAATGTCTGTACATGGTGGCCTCAGGCCTCCAGGTGCTAGGCTTGCTCGCTGGGTGTCGGAAGTCCTCGCCCTTGACCCATTCATCTCCGGACTCAGGCTCCGACTCACTCGAGCTGTCGCTCGATTCACTCTCGCAGTCCTGTTCTCCGCAAGCTGCAGAGACTCCTAAAGGATTGGCAACAGCATCGACCTTCTCGAACGACTCGGTGGTCCTGCCTAACGATCCCTCCTCATCAGAAGCCGCACTCACGGGCACGTTCGGTGATGCAGTTTCATCCTCTGATACTTCGACTTTCACAATCGGACGATCGGCGAACCGTCCCGATCTGCTCAAGTCAGGCATGAACACACCTCGCCTGATGCTTCCTAACATTTCGGTGTATTTCAAGAGGGCTGGCGCAAGGTTGTCGCGCCCATAAGCATCTAGGGATCCGTCGCCACTGCTGTGATGTCCTAAACGCAGGCGGGTATGCTTATCCATTCCAAACTTAGAGCACCAGCTTAAAGACGTCCCCTTGATGGCATGCGAAGTCGACGACTCAGGCACATCACAGCCGGCTTTGTCAAGTAACGCACGCATCCACTTGGTGACCTCTCCTGAATCGACACATCGTCGAGTCCAGCCCCCCTTCTGATCGGGTGCAGGAAGCACAGGTCCTACTCGGGTGGAACTAAAACCCAAACCGACCTCATCTGCAACCTTGGCCCATGTCACAGCCCATGCCGAAGATGTAACACCCCGCGCAGGCGCAACCAAAGGCATGCTGAAACCTGTATGAGCCACAGCATTGGCCGTCTTGTGATCTCGCGTCTTGCACTCAATGAAACCTTCGCCTCCGCTTGCAAGTTCACTGAAGTCAAGGAACCAACCGAAAGTCTTTCTCAAATCCGAAACTCGGCTCCTAGAGAAGATCCCAAACAAGATGGCACCGCAGGCGTAACGATCAAAGCTGTTGACAGATTCATCTTCAAGCAAACGTTCCAGTGCTGCAACGTATGCCACAAGCAGGACTGTGGCCTGCTTTCGCTCTGCCTTGGTCAACTGTGCCTGACCAATAAGACCTTTACTCCAATGGCTCCACACAGTGCTCTGCTTTGGTCCTATGACTGACTCGTCGACAGCAATGCCGACCACATGTATTGCAAAATTCACGCACTCCTGGAAACTGGTGAAAGCCCCAGCAGGCCGCTTCTCTCTCTTCAGGTGCTTCAAGTATCCATCCAGATGCGAGGACTTGAAAGGGAAAAGGTCATCGCCCCTGCATTCCTTTCGCCCCCATGAGAGGTATCCCATGAGGGCCGATCCCCTTTTCATGACTGTACTGCCACTCTTTCGCCCAAAGAGTTCACGCAATGTTTCAATTGCGTCATCAGTCTTTTGGATGGCAACTGTTTCTCCAATATATGATGAACCAGGGCACTCAGTAAGAATGACCAGCCACTTCTCAAGAGCACGTCGCCATTGAGCATCCTCCTTTTCTTCGTAACTGTCGTAGGCCCTTGAAGAAATAGCAACCCTGAAACACTCCCCACTCTCAGGCATCTGTCGTGCGCGCTTTGCCGGTGGCTCGGCAACAAGGTCTGAAGGCTGGATGTTGGAGCTGGACACAGCAGGCACTGGTATGTGCTTCGGGAGGCCTGCCAAAAGCTTTGTTACTGAATCATCTTCTCCAAAGACCAAGCTCATGCTCTCCTGCTCCCAAGGCAAAGGAATGTCCACTACACTCCTACCCAGAGCAAGCACGGAGTCCCCCAAAGCATCGTTTAGCAAGCTGCTGTCAGCACAATTGACCACTTCCCTTGCAGACTCTCGATCGCGCACACAAGCTTCTCGCTGCTCACTATCTATCTCCGAAGGCACGAAGGCATCAAGATGCGAAGGCAAGGGCCGCCCTGTCCCTGCTTCCTCAAGCTCCTCGCAGAGGCACTCAAGATGCTTATCAAAACCCAGCTCACTTTCAGCAGGCAGCGGTTTGCCGGTGCACGCATCGGACTCTTCAACACCTGGGGCTTCCTGACCCTGCCCCCGTAGCTCTGAAGCCACAGGAGAAAAGTCAGGAGCTGCTTCCATCTGCCTCCTAAGGAGGCGTGCACGGAGCCCTAGAGGCAACGTCGAGAAGAGCCAGGTTAAAAGTCGAACCTGTTACGCCTCGGGGTCCCCGTTCCACAAAACTTTTTTCCGGACTTATGCCGGAAATTTTTTCTTACCCTCCCACCACCCTGTGGAGCCAACTGACGGCATAACAAAGTCTTCATTGAGATTCCTCGAACATGAACTGTCATGTCATGGGTTGAGAAAACTTTGACAAAAACTCACGCCCTAAATTTTGAGTTTGTTTGACAAACCAAAATTTTTGACACAGGGGAAAATAAAGCTTCATCCGCTGTTCGCGGAGTTGCGTCTTCGTTGAGGCTGCGGCCGCACAGAAGACGCGCTGCGCCCCTGCCGCGGCTCGCGTGCAACTTGCCGCTGGCAAGATGACACCACGAAGCCGCCCAGTCGGGGAGAGTGCACTGCACTTCCCTGTGAAGCCGCGGATGCTCTTCCACCTCTGGTTCCTTAGAGAACTCGTCTTCGCGGTCAGTGTCGCTGGCACTGTCCTCAGTGTCGCTCAGCTCCTGTTGCTGCGACACCTTAAGGGCTTCCACCCCCACTGGGGGTGCTGAGCCCGAGGACGCTTTCCTGTGCGAGGCCTTGCTAAGGTGCTCGCGCTTGAGATGTAGCTGGCTACTAGGCAGCGAAAACTGTTGCCCCAGAGGCTGGTCTGGAAGAAAGTCGCCATCTCTGATGGCGAGTAAGACCTCTTCGAGAGCTCGCGCTGCGGGGATTAGCACATTCCTGCTGTATGTCTCGGTGCTCCGAGCGCTGTCCTGCACATGGTGAGCAAGCAACCTGCGAAGATCCAAGTTCACCCCGGCCTGCGACGCCCAGGTCAGGCACGTGGCCTTGAGGCTGTGGCTGCTAAGGCGCTCTGCGCCCTCGCAGCGCGCGTTGGCCAGCGCGCTGCGCAGCCAAGACGTGATTTCCTGAGAATCCATGGGGCGATCCGCTAGATCGCCGTCAGAGGTGAACGCTGGGATCACTGACCCCAGAGGGATGTCTCCTCTGGAGGACAGCCCGAGCTTGTCACGGTTCTGCAGCCACTGGCTTACCCAGGCCTCTTCGAAGCAAACCACCGGAGCGACCAAAGGCAGGAGCAACCTGCTCCTGGAGCCTGTGGCTGTCTTGGCCTTTTCGACGTTGGCTTGCATCCACACTGTGGAGCAAGGGTCTTTTGGGAGCTCCACCGAGAAGGAGGCAACTCTGGCTGCGTCGCTGGCGCTTGCGCACGCGAAGAGCATGAACAACAAGCCACCAGACACCACGCTGTCGTAGACTGACCCGGACAGCGCTATGCGCTCCAGGGCTGCCACCTCTGTGGCTTTCAGGGCTGGGGCTCGCTTCGGAGGAGGCGCACTGGCCTGCGTGCTCCTGCAAAGGCCGATGATGCGGGAGCTGGTGACCTCCTGGAGGGGCTACTAGCTCCCTTGCCGTTCCGCATCATCCACTGGATGTATCTCCAAGCGGTTTTCTCTGAAACCGGAAAAGGGTCCACCACTGGGGATTGTCTGTTCGCCCATTCCACGAAGTTGCTCAGGGAATTCAGGCGACGCACAACTGTGTTAGTCGCTTTGTAGCTCAGCGCTGCCTCGATGCTGAAATCCAGCTCGTCGAGGTCGACCCGACCAGATGCGTCGTCGCACTGCGAGACGATCTCGAAGGCCTCTGGCCAACCTTTGACCAACAGGGTCAGCTTGAAAATTGCGCTGGCACGGCGATCCCCTTCGTACGCTGTACGACGGGAGCAAACTTTGAGCGCAAAGCAGGCGTCCTCCGCTACTAGCGGAGGGCTGCTCGCGGAGACTTTCCGCTTGAGCAGAAGGCTCGATTCGTGCAACACTGGCACGGGGCCCACAAGAGGAGGCTGTGTCACTGACAAGTCCCAGGGCCAACTCGCGTTGCGCGAGAACCAAGAGGCCGACTCCCACGGCTGACGAGCGCCGACTCTGCGCGGGATCGACGACGGTACCAAAGGTTACTAACCTGGTCGTTGATGTCTGGGCCCGGAGCGCTGCTCCGGGGCAGCATGGCGAAAGAAAACAAAAGAGCACAGCTCAAGCCAACGGCTGCGGTAAAGGCAACATGCCCGACACGGTGCTACCAGCGAAAGCTCCGCTCTACAAGCGCACTCTCTCCAGGCACAGTAGCGACACGCTGTGACCCCTGTTCCCCCTCCGGTCCTGGTACGGGGGGGAGAGAGAAGGAGAGAGAGTGGGGAGAGCGTTGAGCTTAAAAGGCTGCGGCAAGACGCACTGCGAAACTGAAAACTGCTGGGTGCTGACTCAGTACCTCAAGTGCAGGCAGCCACTCGAAAAACCGTGCGTACCACGCAAAAGTGACCTACTAGGCTTGGGGCGAAAAGGCAGGGCCTACTAGGGCTGCAAAAAGAAAAGACGCA